TACGAAAAAACGATTCTGAACAGAGTTCAGTTGATAAATATGCTTTGTCAACAATATATATATATATACCATATAATAGTAAAATAATTAAATAGGCTCTATATATTTTCTTTAATAATATTTGTTTAATGTTGTACAAATTTCCCCAGTTTTCCTACGTTTTTCCCGATTTACCTATGTTTTTCCCAGTTTTTCACATTTGTTGAGAAAACCCGGAGAAAATAGAAAAATGACCTCATTAAGGTACTTCCCCACACTGATTTATTTTCAGAAAAGGTGTTATACGTAAAAATCTGAGCAATTCTTCTGGTAGAAAAGTTGTCCACAGAAAAAAAAAAACAAATAAAATAAACACCTTTGTAGTTTCTTTTTAATTTGTTTTGCATCCTGAGATACATCACAGATGCTTAATGCTTTATCAGAACAATACAGGTATTTCGTAGGCATACGATATTTACTACCCTGTAGAGTAGAGGTAAACTATATAGTATATACATATATATATATATATAGGTATATTATTATACATATTCCAACTATTAATCATCATTAACCCCGCGCGTAGTTCCGAGTTTTGAACTCTGAAGTCTGCGCGCGTGGTCGATGGAAAATTGTTTTAACGTAGACGTTTAGTTTGGATATGATATCCCGAGAAAAAATTGTACAATACACTTTTCGCCATAAAAACTATAAGTAAAATTCAGTGAAGTATCTGCGAATAACTTCTCCAAAGGGTGATGACCAATAAAAAAAGGGTTTTTACTGATGCTGGGTGAGCCACTGTTTTACGAATAGGAAGGGAAAAATATTAAATAGTAATCAAATTCATATCTGTACGCAAAGAAAAAACCATTGTTAACAAAAAAGCGGTTCTGAGCAGAGTATTATTGCCTAGCATTTTTTCCTTTATTGCCAAGGGAACCCAGAAATCAACAAAAATTTCCAGCTTTACTCATTTATTAAGAAAACCGCAAATATAAGAAAAACCAATATCCTTAATACATCAGAAAGTTTGATTGGAGCTAAATTTGTTTACAAGCAAAAAATAAAAATAAAAAACAAACCCTAGTAAAAGAATACATTCATCGCTCTGCTCAAAATCTAAAAAAGAAAATACTTCACAATGTTTTTAACACGTTATTATAAATTATTATAAAATGGTAAAAATCTACACGCAACGTATATAACTTAAGAGCAATAAAAAAGATTTGAATTATTAAATATATAAACAAAATTGTACGATCAACGTAGTTAAAATATTTAAAATACTGTAAAGTTGTACCCGAGTTATTATGTAATTTCTCGAACAATAAATTCAACAATACATTATAATATGAATCGTTTATAAACGATATGCAAAAAAAAAAATGTACATTTCATCCAATTTTGTAGTATCTAATAGCTAGATATACTAAGTATACGTATTATACGACTATAATAAAATTACCAATAAAATACCAATAGGGAATCGTGTTAAACGCGATATGTCCGTCACCGAACCCTGCACCCTTATTGCACAGACAAATCGAATCGATTCTCGTACACACAACACACCCGCCTGTGCTGTAGACACTGTAACTGAAACTAGTGTGTAAAAGCTTAAATTTTACTATATGAGGGTTTAGCGTAATTAATTTTGATGGAACTAATTGGCTGAGGAGAGTATAGAAAACGGTTTAGCCGTTCCGTCCACGTTTCCAAACCTCATTCTCCTTCTATATAGCACGAAAACCCCCTATATCCTCGTTGCGCTCACTCCTCCCACTCCACTTCCTCCCTTTTATCCGATGGGAGCTATCCCTGTCCTTGTTCTACTCTCTTTATCTATCTCTATGTACGACAGTATACCGCATAAAGCTTATTAAATTCCTTACCATTCCACGAGGGAAACCCCAAAAGAGAATATTTTAGCTCTTTAATGTTGTAATGTAGCACGCACATTGTTCTTCATGGGAATAATAAGACGTTTTTATACAAACGCGCCAAGATAAAACCCGGTAAATATTTACAATAGCTCGTACCTGTCCTTTTTTTTTTATTTTTTTATTTTTTTATTTTTAGTATCACCGTTTGACTTATTAGACAACATCAAACATAATAACGGTCGGTGATGTAAAAATATATATAGAGGGCCGGATATAATATTACCTATACTCTGTATTTGTCATATTGTTTGTCTTATGATTGTGCAGGAAAAACTTTTGTTCGCCCTCATTATATTCCCCTATACCCGGGGAAATCAGCCTCGGCCGTCTATCACGAGATTCCGTGTTGACGCACGCTGTCATCCCTTTAAACGAGCCACAGTTAAGTTCCTGTGTACCGCGGCGCAACAGCAGTCAAAACTTTGATGTGATTCCAGTTAAATAATATGATAAGAACGGCAAGATATGGTCTTCAGTTTTGGAATATAATATCTGTAATAACGTATACTTTTCATTTTATAAACAATTTAATTCAAAATGCTGGTTAAAATATATTAATAGAATAATTTGATTAAAATAATAAAAACTTATATTATTATAATTTTTTTTTTTTTTTACAAATAAAGTACAAAGTCGGGGTATATTGAGCATTTGTTCCGCTTCGTTTACTTCAGAGTAACCTGTAGTGCATACTATTATTGTAATAATTGTTAGTATAAATTAAAATAATTAATAGTATCGCGTTCATAATAATGCTTTCCGATGAGATGAAAATAAATTTCTAAACGCTTGACTACATTTCGGAAACAATATTATTATTCGACGAAACTAGAAATGCAAAATAATAAACATTTATTCAAACGTGGCGGCGACGGTGCTCTATCGGCAAACCAAAAGGGTTTTAATGTATAATATTTCAATGAAATGGAAACACGATCGACGAATCACACAATTCACTATCGGTCAAAAATTGTATGATATAACCCGTGAATCGTGATTATAAAAATAACAAATTATTTTTTTATTTTTTTTTTTTCATACTGCCTATTTCTATTACTTTAAAATTTCAGTCAAAGTATTATGTCTTCGTAATGATATTCGGACCACTTTAACCCCGCACTCCACAGCCGTCTACACCTAAATAATTGGACATTACGCAAATTGCGCACAGAAATATAAAAAAAAATAAATATATATATATACGTATATCGCCGACAAATAAACAATAATAAAGTCATTGGTATGACAGCTCTTAAATCGGGACGTATTTCGTGTCGGAAAAATAACGCGCAATCGACCTTTTATATTATAATATATTCGTTTCGACGAGCGTTATGAAATATTGCTAACGATTTCTTCTCGGATTTTCCCAGATTTGTTTTTTTTCCTCTCAGCACCCTATGTCTACGTATGAAGACTAGAAGACTACACGTATACGAGACATGGTTTACTCTCTTTTCATTTATTTCTTCAGAAAAAAAGCTTTTTTTTTTAATACCATGCTTTTAAAACGAACAAAAATATAAATAATAATGAAAAATGTTAGTGAAAATATTTTCTCGCGTTATTTTATGTCATCGTGATAACATCGAAATTTAATAAGAATTAAGCGAATGATAGCATACGTAGTACATTTACTTGAGGTATTTATTTCATATTTTTCCAAAAGCGCCCAACGTTTAAATGTATGTGTGTTACCATTTCCTAATATACTCTTAAGGCCGTTTACACTAACACGAATATTGATTTTTAGACGGATGATACACGAAAGAAAGTTTTTTTACATGTAATGTTTTTTGACATTTCGACATTTTTTCCAAAAAAATGTAAAGACTAAAAAGCCTTAGAGATAAACTGTTGAGAATTTTTAAAAATGCTTCAAGTATAAAATACCTGCACCAGATTAAAATTCCAAACCTTCCCAGGTATTTTACGTGAAAAAATCAGGAAAAGATAATTCCGAAAACATTTTCAAATAATGTATCATTAGATAGGTGAAAAATCACATATTACAAAACATTATATTAAAATAGTATGTTGATCATGAACTGTACACTACATACGGTTAGCTTAGGTTAGGCATTGGACTACTATACATTCCGTATTTGCTACTACGCATAATTTTAGATCCTGCTAGGAGTAGGTATTGTTTTTAAAATTTCGTATCCCTTTCGAGGGTTGAAGTAATGTGCAATTTCGTATCGCACATTCCATATCTCCGTCACTACTATATATGTGTACACTATGTAAAGTGAAGTAATGTGTGTAATGTACATTGTTTTAAAAACAAAAATCACATCCAACATCAGGTACATTGGACAATAATACACTCAGGCTTAGCAAAAATATTTATTTTAGAGGTATTACAATACACAGATTTATTTCGGATGATATTATGTTGCACAGTAATATAGTTTTCGTAAACGTTTTAAATAATAGAATATCATAGTAATGTACGGGTGAAAAATAATATACAACAAGAAAAAAAATTAACAAAATCGCATTAAATCTGGAAAAAAATTCACTATTAAATTTGATATTTTGATCGTTATTAATATATGCGATAAAACGTTTTTATGGCAAAAAAAATAATATATTTATTTCACAAATAGGTTTAACCTCCATCCCCTCTCTATTTCGTTTACAGTATAAAATCATAATATTTCACGCGAAAATTAATTCGTTCCGGATTCTTTATTGTTATTATTTTACTGTCGCGAAAATTAAATAAATCACCTTTTTCGTATCTATAATACGACCGAATCAAATCGTATTAAACGATATTAAATGTACGATGCGAAAAACCCTTTTAAATCAAAACCACTATGCTCTTGTAATGCAACAAACGAACAGCGTTCATTTTTTTTTATTTTTTTTTTTTGTTTTTTTATATTTATTAGGTGGGTATACGTTAAATCTACTATTACGTAAACTGTCGAGTTGTTTAATAAAAAAAAAAAAAAAAAAAATGTTTTTTCTCTTATCTTGTAGGTATTGAATATTAATACCGTCGCGTGGACAGCCATTTATACGCGCGGTACGGAATTAATAAAACATTACAAACTGCCGCGGGTTTTTTTTTTTTTTTTTTTATGTTCCGGGCGACAACCATACCGCAACCAACAAAGTCTTTACGATCAATACCGGACGATAATTTAGATTAGTGTACCGGGTGCATTACCGGGGCGGACATTAATGTCTGGTGACGATTATTATTATTGGTCGACCGAACGCGGTTATGGCTATAATATATATTATAGTCGATATGAAGGTGTGGACCACCCAGTCGGAATGCTGCCGAATATAAATATCGTACATCCCATTTTATTTGCCCTTTCCTACTATACAAACTTAATACGTTACATAATATTAAAATACTCTTCTCTGTCCGCGTCACAGAGCGCACCGTCGTCGTAGTCTCTTTATTCGTATACATAATATTATAATAATAATAACAATAATGATGATAATGATAATAATCTTTTCGTAATTCCGTGCGTGCACACACACACACACACACACACACACACACACGATTATTGGACAACGATATCCCCTGCGTGTTATACCGCAGTGCATCTAGTCGGGGGAGGGGGGCGGAAGCTTTTAATTTCAAATTTACGGTCGACGGGGGAAAACAAAATGGTAGTTTAACGTCGCGGTTCGACGCGAGTGCCTATGCTATATGAATAATATAAGGATTTGATAATAATTATGATAGGATTATGATAATGGACACTTAATATATTATAATAATTTATCGAAATAATTCTTTTATAGAGATTATATCCAATCACCTGTTCACCAAACCGAATACGAAACGTTCGAATATTTTTAAATACATTACAATATACGTGATATACGAGTATATTATGTACCCACCTATATGTTTCGCTAAATAATTTCATGTTTAATTCAAATTTCGAATATTTGCATTTTCTTTTATTCGCGTTGTTTAGACCTAACCGAAACTTAAAGGTATACCTGTATTTTACATATTATGATAATAGGCACGTAAGTGTATATGAAATTAATATGCAATAAAACAAATAGATACCATATGCATTAGAAAAGAAGACTGATTTTAACCTTCATATCGTTATGACTTCTCTATCAAAACTAAAATCTCAATTGTCAATAACTTTTCATTCCTATGTCCTTAAGCAATGGCGTACGCATACGGTGGGATGTTAGGGATTATATCTCCCCCCCACATTGGCTTAAAAATGCATCAACTATAAGTAATAATTTAGTCGTTTTCTCATGAAATTATATATTTCAGCCAAGTTACAAGAATAAAGTTTAATTTATTGAATAAAACTTGAATTTTTCGAATTTAGCTTTAAAATGCTCATTGTTGAGTTAGGTATACCAGAAGAAGATTTGACGATTTGTTCATGAATCGTGATAATTATTTACTATATCCCACCCCATTGAAAATTCCCGGAAAGCTACTGCCTTTACGAATTTGGGGTGAATATTTAATCCACTATAATGAACTAGGGGTTGCTAACTACCATATTATCACACTTATGCTTTTGGTCGAATTAACACGGCAGTCATATTTAATTCGAGGCCCACGGTGGACGTTGACCTAATATACTTTTATATTGTGGATAACTATTGTACCTAAGACTATAGACTTTTTACCATTTTTACCGCGGTGACCAAGACCGTGATTGTTACTAATATTATAACAGTTATCTATCACAATAATATAAAATTAAATGATAAGGGCGTCGAATTAAACGGCCGATTGAAACTTCACGTCTTATTACCTTAAAGTTATAGCAATCTAGTTTATTATAAATTTGTATTCAATCCTTGATCATTCTAATCAAAATTTCATTCTCTTTACACCGAATAATCTACTTGAACAAACTCTTATATTATATGATTAAGTATATATTCTATCCTATTATTGTAATAATCTTAAGATGAATAAACAAAAGTTATATTTGAATCATTTAAAATATTTAAAAAGAAACAGAACTCACGAGTATTTGAACAAGCAGTGGATTTATAATAATTGCTCTATTAACTTCCACGATCAATTAATATATATATTTTTTTTTTTTTTTAGAATATTAACTATATAACATAATACTATATATATATATTATTTTCTGATATAAAAATGTCTATATTAGAGTCAGTGAAATACCGCAATCGGTTATAATTAGTATATGGCTCGAACGTCATTTTAATTAACATGGAATTCTACAATTAATTAATAAATCATTTAATTCGAGTAATTATAAATATAAACGGAGATGAAACCTTTCAGATAAAAAAAAAAAAAAAAAACTTAAAACTGCCACGAGATATATTCACTCTCGGAATCCGACTCGGAGGGCGCTTATATATATAACAAAGGCGTCCAATTAATCACAAATGTATATACGTCTCGAAAATTGTCTTTTTTTTCCTCTCTTACTAATTCAATATATATATATATATATATATATATATACACATATTTTATTTTATTTTATTCGTATTTTTGCGGTTATTACTAATTATAACGTAAATAAACTTCCTTTTAGAAAACCATCTTAAAATAATATAGTTTATACTATAATGAAACATAGGTATTTAACAAGAACAACACTTACGAAAACAATTTTTCTTTTTTAAAAACAGCAAATAAAATAACTTTTCTTTGTATACATAATACATATATGTATATATATTTTTAAATCTGATTTATACAAATATTACATAATATGATGAATTTAAAGACCCACAAGTTATACAACTATTTTTCAAACCACTTTCATGTAGACACCTAGTTACTTAAATAGAAAATAAAATAAAGAGCTCATACAAGAATTGTCTACGTTTTTTTTATTCATTACGAAAAAAAGCAAAAACAATATTGGGAAAATTCGGGTGTTGTCAATTTACTCTTCAATTTTTTAATCATGTTTGTAGTACACTAATCATACACAAACTAACTTTGGACTTTTGTAAATCCGACAACTGCAGCAGCTACACACTTTTAGCCACTCCCGTATATTTTAGAAAAAGAACCACAGAATACATGCACACCATATTACATACCTATGTCTATCTTTCTAATAATAATAATAATAATAATAATAATATACACAATTTGCATATATTATTGTACGCACATACTCCGCTTTAGTGTACCATATTTCCGGATCAAACCTTACAAATTATTATTGTTACATACAATGCGGCGGCGGCATACCGGTTCACAAGTAATTCAAGCGAGCTGTGTGTATATATAGCGCATTATAATATAAATAATACAATATAGCGACTCGTAATGTTATAACAACCGCATTTACTGACATTATACTGCAGGTATACAAGCTTAATAACACAACAAAGAGCGTGTAATGTATAACTAGTTTTGTGTTCAACTTTTCGAACATCATAAATCACGGGGATGATGTTCGTCGTTGACACACACCTAGTTGTATAATACGCGGGTGTTATGATATTATGCGGGATAAGATTTTAGAGATCACACCGGCAATCGTCCGTGTGTACACAACAACCATAGATATAATATATATATATATATAGCAGGTATTACATAATGTAATATGTAGACGTATGGTTATACGATATGTTTACACGACATTTAGAGGTACCTAACTACTTTGATGAAAAAAAAAAAAAAAACCGTTAAAGATAATGAAACATTATAAACTACATTATAATATGTATACTTACTGCAGCGGTGGTTGTTTACCCCGTGAACAATATTATTATTAGCTATATGAATATTGTTAAATGTAACTCACCTAAAACAAAAAAAAAAAAAAAACAAAAAATTAATTTTAATAACAGTGGGTTCGACTTGAAAATTATTTTATTGTTTCGATTATTTTTTAAGATTCTTAACGACGCAAGAAATGTATTGGTTTTACTATAGTGTGTTTTTTTTTTTTTTTTTTGTGCGTGTATAAACATTTTTTTTTACCAGAAATCATGTCCTAATCAAAAACTTTATAAGACCATTCTTGTAAAATTTTTATATCTAGTCTATGCATTGAGGAGATCAGTTTTTGATTTTTTCTTGAAGTTTTTTTTTAATAAATGGAGAAATCGGGCAAATATTTGTATAATATTTTTATTGATTAGGGTTGATGGATTACCTTGGTAAATTGAGGAAAACACGAATAGTAATAATTTGCTCAGAATCACTTTTCATTAGCTACAGTTTAACGTTGCGTACAGATATAAACTAAATTATTTCTAAAACAGTGGCATACCAACATCAGCAGTATCAGCCATTTAGTAATTTTTGTTTCCTCTCAGAAATATTATGTTATCGCGCTACATAAGACCCGAATTCCCTTACAACATTTGTATAAATCATTTTCGAAACGAAAAATGGTAGATTTAAAAGTGTTTAAATCCGAATCCTGGTTATTGTATTAGTTCGAGTTCATTTATATAATAATTATTAATTGTATACGGTTCACATAATTTATTATAATTTTAACATTAAATAATAAACTAATTATCTAATTATATGATTTTTATTAGCTGTGAGTAGGTATATAATATGACTATGGGAGTCATAATGCTATAATAAAAAGGACGTTTCGCACAATGTAAAAAGTTTCTACGTCTGTCTCATTCCCACGCGCGACAAACACGTTTAAAATGTCGTACGAGCGCCTAAGACATCGAAACTTGGGTCTAAAAAGTAAATAGATTATTTCCGTCATCGTTTTGGCCGTAGAGTATCCGACGGGCATCTGAAAAACTTTTGAAATACCGCCAGAACATCAGACACCCTTATTACATCGCCTACTCTAAGAAACTACAAATACTCTTCTAAAAAGTATAGGAGTATAATGGAAGTTGAGATAAATTAATTAGGTTGAAGATGGACGCTCACATTATTATATCAAGAATCTATCAGTAAAAAATAAAATGTACACTGTAATGATGAAAGACACCTATATTTACTAGTGCATGTTTTGTAAATTAAGTAAATTATTACATGTATACATTTAATAATACCTACTGTATTTAATTTCAAGTAGGTAATATATTTGCATAGGTACAACTAGGAGAGTGCACAGGAAAATTGTGCACCCTCAAGTTTAAAATGTGTACCTCCAAAAAACAAAAGCCCTTTTCTAATAGATTTTTTAATTCTGAAGTAAATATAATTTATAATTTCAAAAATATTGAACTATACTGTGTATGATATTGATAAAGCTGAAACGATAATTTCCTACAAATTTCAATTTTGATGATGTTAAAAAAAACATTCAAAAGGTCACATATTCCAACTTGTACAAACTAATTAAGATAAGTTATAAGTATCAATGTAATACCATACCTATAAAGAAATTCGACTGCTTGTGAACGCAGTTTCTCAGGTTTTCCTACGTTTTTCCCAGTTTATCTATGTTTTTTCCCAGGTTTT